CCACTCACCTCAGCCTCCCAAAGGCGTGGGATTACAGGCTGAGCCACCAAGCCTGGCGCAGTCTTAGTATTTTAAATCTGATGTTTGGTTCCTCTCAGAGGCAGTTTCTGTTGTTTGCTTACTTTCCTGTGCATAGGACACACATTCCTATTTCTTTTCATGAATTACAATTTTTTTTTTTAAAAATTGGACTTTTTAGGTCATGTCTTACAGGAACTCTGCATACTGATTTCCCTCCCCACTTTATGGGTTTGTTTTTGCTGTATTTTCCTTGTTTATTTGTTCAGTGGCTTGTCTACATTTTTTAAATGATCTCCTGATCTCTCTGTTAAAATGCCTGCCTCATCTTTATTATTCCAACCACTTGGGTTCCACCAATTACCAACTAATTGCTCTGTTATTTCCAGTGATGCCCCAGGAGAAAAACTGCTCAGCAATCTGACTCAATGAAATTCAGGCATCTGTAGTTTTTGAGGTCAGTCTTTGAGGTTTGTTCTGACCCCAGGAGGTCTCTTCTTTCTTGTTTTTTTACTGGTTATCTCTGGTGAAATAGCTGACCTATGGTTTAGCTTATTGTTCTCAGTTAAGAGCAACTGATGCTTTCTAGAGCAAAATTAGGCTTGAACTTCCTCACACTTCACTTCAAATAGAGACAGTGTTTTGGCTGGGCTTGGTGGCTCAGCCTGTAATCCCGCGCCTTTGGGAGGCTGAGGTGAGTGGATTGCCTGAGCCCACGGTTTGAGACCCGCCTGGGCAGCGGGACCTCATCTCTACAATAATTTAAAAAATCAGCCAGGTGTGGTAGCGCATGCCTGTAACTCCGGCTACTTGGAAGGCTGAGGCGGAAGGATCGCCGGAGCCCAGCAGGTCGAGGCTGCGGTGACCGGGAGCAGCCACTGCACTCCAGTCTGGGCAACAGAGTGAGACTCCAACTCAAAAAAATAAAAAAATTTTTAAATTAAAAAAGAGACAGTGTTTTTAGGGAGAGCTTTTGAGCTCTTTGCTTATGGACTGCCTCTCCTCTGGGGCAAACTCTTTAAGCCTCTACTCTGTGCACTAGATGTGATGATACCCTCTGGTCTTCCTGGCTTGCCTCCCCCAGTATGGGATTTCTGCCCTGAAATGAGGACTGCTTGCCTAGAATAGAACCTGTGACCCGAAATGAGGGCTGCTTGCCTAGAATAGAACCTCCAAGCTATGGGGAAAAGCTTAGCTGAAAAGAGAAGCCCCAGACTTTACAGTCACACTCACTAAGAATGTAACCTCTTAAACATGGCATCTAAGGTGATGAAAAACATGGGCAGCCTGCCACTCCTGGTGAGATATGGAAAGCCTTGATTGGAAGCTTAGGGGAGAGGAAATCCTGTCTTCTTGGCTACGCCTGAATAAAGTGAAGCTTCTATCAAGCTTAACTTCAAAGGGAAGGAAGGAGGGAACATGTCATGGCTCAAACACCACAGATTGTCTTCTTTCTTCCTTAGCTTCAGTAGACTTTCTTGAATGAGTATTTCTTCATTGATTGTATTAGGACAATTTACAGAAACCTTAAATAGCTGGGGGGTTTTGTTTGTTTGGTTTTATAGTTTCTACCAACATTGCTTGAGTGGGTCTATGAAGTTGCATATGCTGTCATTCCAGAAGTGGAAGGGTCTTTTTTACATCCTAAACAATCATAGTCTCTTAGGTTGGCGATGCATTTAGCAGCAAAGCTCTCTCAAAATTTTGCTATTGCTTTTTAAACATATTTAGATTTTAGGCAACACTAAGAATTTTCTGTGAGACATGCATCTCTCCCTAATTTCAGGTACTTTGAACATAGACTTTCATAGAGCCATGTCCTTAGTATTCTGTCTACAGCCAATTTGTTCTGCTAAAAGGACATTTCAGAAGTCTTAACATAGAGTGTGGTTAACTACAGCTTTGATTTGGTTATTGTCTTGAGATGGAGCCCTATAAGTTTAAATCAAAGAATTTATGAATGTTATATTTTGCTGCTTGGAATTTTTTAATTTCCACTTTTCAATCTTGCATATATCAGAATTACTGGGTTCCTTATAGTCCCTCTCATTTTCACTTGCAGACTCTCCTGTTCTTTTATGGTTTCATCTCTTTCTTGAAGCATCTTAACATAGAATGATACATTTGAAAAACCAGAAGAAAACATAAAGGTCATCAAACAATATTTCCCTTATGTAGGAATTGAAAGTAGAAGGAAATCTTGAAAAGAAATAGATACAACAGTATCATGTTTGATGAAAAATGCACAAAATAGAAATTTTACTTTTGAGGTTTTGAAATTTTACTTTTGAGCTATTGAACAGAAAATGTGATTTGGCCACAGTCATTTTAACAGACATTGGGAGGAAGGAATAGGGAGCATGTTTTGTGATGTGATGCTAAAATAGAAATTTTTTTGTTTTCCCTTTCTCCCCCTGAAAAAATTATTCCACCCACTAGGTGAAATAGAAGGAAGCAGACATTCTTGAGAGTATTTAAATGCTCCAGGCACTAAAGGAAAGAAGAAGAGCAATATTTAAGTGACTTAGAGATAATAATCTGGTTAGTTCCAAAGAAGGAAAAAAGGGTATGTATGTCAACAGACATGAAGATAATAGTACAACACAATTTCAACTGCAGCTAACCCTTAAACAGTGCAAAAATTAGGGGCACTGATGCCTACACAGTCAAAAATCTGTGTATAAATTTTGACTCCTTTAAAACTTTACTAATTTCCTGTTGTTAGATGTATATATTACATTCTTACAAGAAAGTAAGATAGAGAAAAGAAAATGTTCTTAATAAAATCCTTTACTCATAAGTGGACCCTGAACATTCATCATAACACTACAGGAAAGAGATAGGCAGTAGCGGGACATGGCTGGCGGAGGGAACACATAACATCAATAAGTGTACTAGATCCTAAACCAGGTGAATTGAGGTCTGGGAGGCCCAGACTTCACCTGTATGAAGACCATTTATGTACCTAATCCTGACTTGTATCCCACATCTAAAACAAAATAAAATAAAATAAGAAAATCATAAGGCTGGATGCAGTGGTTCATGCATGTAATCCCAGCACTTTGGAAAACTGAGGCAGGAGGATTGCTTGAAGCCAGGAGTTTGGGACCAACCTGGGCTATATAGTGAGACCCTATCTCTATAAAAAATAAAAATAAAGATAATATGCAGCCATAAGAAGAACAAAATCATGGCCTTCACAGTAACACGGATGCAGTGGGAGACTATCATGCTAAGTGAATTATCACAGAAACAGAACTGAACACTATATAAGTGGG